AATGGTTGGATTTTAAGCATCATTCCTAATGTGTGCAGTTGGTCCACCTGCTCTTCAGTACGGGAGATGAAACGGTATGAGCAGGTGGGTTGTGTCTTCCTCCGTAAATGTATGGTATATAAAAGCAATATTGTCTTTTTAATATCAAGTCATTCATTGTGTATTGTGGTTACTGAGACAACTGTGCATGTAATATGTTTTATTTCCAAGAATGGCGTCGAGTTTTCAAGTCAGCCATAGTTTTTATGTCAGCACATAGGAAGAAAGACTGCTACGTTACGCCTGCTAGCGCTTCTGCTAACTTTTGCTTTTGTATGAAGTTGAGGTTTTACTATTAATTAAACTATTCCAGAGCTGTGGAACAGCATGCAAATGCAGTTTGTTTTGTAGTCATAATGTTTATTACTGAAAATAACATGGTTGTATTTGTGTACGTAGTCCTTGATAATGTTTTTTAAGGTTGGAAATATTACAGCAAAAAACAATGTTATGGTTGTGTGTTCTATCAGTGAATTAATGGCTGTGACTGTCCTGTCAACCAGCCCGTTTCATGGCTGTGTGATATCTTTTGTTACAGCAAAGTAAGTCAACCTGGCGTCCTGGTGTCTGTGTGCCGTTTTCTGGGGTGTTGGGGTGTGATCAGTTACACACTGACAAGCTCACAGGCTTCACCTTCTTATGTCTCTCATATCAGGTAGGTCTTCGCTCATCATCTCACTCATGAACATTGTAGTTGTAGCATAAGCAACACCACAGGGACTAAAATCACTGCTGTTTTGATTGATTAAGAGGCAGTCTTGTACACTGCTGCCACCTACAGGAATATTTAAGACTCACAAATGTGCATATACAGTGCCCTCTAACTTTGGGACACAGACGCATTGTTTCTAGACGTGGCCCTGTAATTTAGATTTGTAATCATCCAATTCTGATATGGTTACAGTGCAGATTGTCAGTGTTTTTTTATTCAACTATATTTTTGTATGTTTTGGTTCCACCATTTATCAAGGGCATTGCAATATTTCCTGCCCTCTGTACCCTGGGAATGCCGTCTATACTTTGGGGATTTCCCTGTCAGTGTAATGTTTCTGAGTGTTGCATGGTTGGATGTTTTCCCCCAATGTTGTACAGCTGGTTGTGACTTTATAGTGGCCCAGTTTTTGTCATTTTAATTTTACACTTTTTCCTCCATGTGGATTTAAAAGTTGTTATTTCCTCCACCCACTAGAATCTCCCTACAAATGGCTCAAGAGGATGTGACTGCACATGATAGTCCTCCAATTCACATGTCATGCTATGCTGTGCTGCATGTGTGGCATCAAATGTTACTTATGACATTGTACTTTTCTTCTGTGCCACCCTAAACAGTCCCAGATTTAATCAAGATACTTCTGTTTCTTCCACTCTGTGTCCTGGGAATTCCTATTTAGGGGAGCTGAAAATACTTGGGTGGCTAAAACATTCTGTGCTTCATGTCAGGATCTGAAACCCAGCTGCCCTTACCAACCCCATCCTCTCCACTCCCTCCAGCACTCAACTCATCTATTTAAAAACAGAGAGCAGGGTCTGAAGTTCCTGTTAACAGGATTGAAACTGCATTGGACTGAAGGCTGTAAACACAATAACATGGACAAAATGAGTTATCCTTTTAAAACAGCTTCATCATGGTTCATTTAACTGTTCCTCATGGAATAAAGCTGAAAGCGATGTCCATCTACATTTACTCTACTTTTAATACCATGATACAGAGACGAGTGATTTCTTTTTGATTTACTGACTTAACTCCCAAATGATGGGTCAAGTCTTAGCCTCTCTTGGTATTTGTATAAGCAGCCCTGACTGGTAGAGTACAGTTGCAGTACTGCTTTCCATCAACAGATGGAGCTGTATTGTCAGTGGCAGTGGACTCTAGATTACAGTTTGAGTGTTCTCACAGTGTCTGAGGTCACTTTTCCATATAAGTGCCAGAGAATGAAAGTTTATTGTATGGCATTTCATATTCATTGTGTTGTTATATACAGTCTATGTGTATGCTGTACTTATAAATAAGACAGATCAACACTTTTTACATAGTCACACGTCCTGTTTCTTACTGCGCTTCAGAGCTGTTATTCTTTGCAGGCCTTTCCCCAATGTTTCCCTCCTATTTTGGAAGCACATTCACATTTGCAAGCTTCCTGCTTTGTTGTAACTCCCTCTGTCTATAAACTCACACATGACCTCAGTCACTGTTTTTTGTTTCATGCTGCAGTCCATTGGCAGGGATCACACAGGTGTTAATTGAAGCGAAGGACTTCATGCTGAGCATTGTAGGAGCTAACTGCAGGTGCTTGAATGACCAGTTGGAGTACCTGGTTTGTTATAGGACATGGGTGACTAAATCCCCAGTGAGAGAATCCCTCCAACCCTACATTTTGAGTCTTACCATGTGTCACCCAGTTGGGCAGCTCTAGCTCTCTAGCAGAGACTAACTCTCTTTTTACTTAATTTAGATCACTTAATTAAATGCTGATGATGAGTGTAATGCATCACTCTGATACACACAGACTTTCTCTTTTAACCTGAATCATTAAGAATCAGCTTTTTAGATTGATATTAAGTGATGCAATGGAGCATCATTAGATTTTGCATAGTAAAATTGCAAGGATTAGGATTATGAGTGAATTCTGAGTAAGAGCTGAGATTTTTGCATCCTGGAAAAGGACACCATGAATTTAATTATCATTCAGCTGACACTGTTTCCAATGTGCTTTTTAAAGTATCTTGCTATTCATGAAATAAATTGTCCATGAGATTGCAAAATGGCAACGATGGAAAGAGAACAATGTGAAAAAGTTTCATACCCTTAAACTCAATTAATGAAATTGTTTAACCATCCTTGCTCATATAATTAAGCGCAGGAAATACAAATTGAGAACCCAAAACAAATTAAAACCTGGCAACCCAGACTGGTTGCAATATAAAACGGTTCCTCAACTGCCCCAGTTGCACTACTTTTTAATAGTGAGAACTGAAGGAGGGAGCACAAGGTAGAGTCTGAAAAAGTGGGTTTTCAGTAAATGGTGAAGTATAGGGAAGGATTCAGCCACTCTGACAGAGGCAGATCATTCCACCATTTCAGAACCCGAATGGAGAACAGGTATATCCACACTGCATGACCACCTGGTAACCATAGCGATGGGACCCCAAGGCGTTGAGAGCTGAAGTTGCTGAATTTACAAATGACCTTACATATAGCTGATCACTAAATCTGTGACCACCACTGCCCTGACTGTGACCATAAAACAGTAGACCTTGTTTTCAGCAGGCTATAACTACAAAGGTTACAGTATTGAGCTTTGTTCAGCACAGCCTGAGTGGGTCCCACAGGGAACAGTATGGAACAGGGATAAGTGCTGACGATCCTGTCCTACTGGCTGCTTGCCACTATGTCGTTATCAGAATTCCAGGAAAGACTTTCCCTGTTAAATCGCTTCTGGGAAACCTTCACTAGGTAATCCTGGAGAAATTGCTCAGACTGTTCTTTATCTTGGATTATGTAAGGGGAATCTCTCAATCGGTTTAATTAAAGCTGAGCAGAATCAGTGAGTGTGTCTGTGTGTGCGTGTACATATCTGAATGTGTGTGTCAGTGTCACTGAGAAAAATATACAGTCACTCCCATGAAAGACAGCAGACTTTGGTAAAGCAGCTTGGTGCAGTGTAAACAGAAAACAAGCAGTTATTTACATTAATTCTGCTGGTAGAAGTAAAAAAAAAAATCTGAAGAAAAGAATATTACAATAATCCAGAGCTCAGTAATGTAGAAGCATTAGTAACATGAACAGGATAAAAAACATAGATGTACCATTGAAATTACGCCGTATTTGTTTCAACCACCGGTGCAGCAGGGAGAGCAGTAAGCTGAAAGCGTATCACAGCTAGACAAAGGGACACGTCTTGGCAATTTTGCTAAAGAATACTATTTGGACAGATGAATAAATTGTATAACAAAAGCTATCTCACCCTAAGAGTGGCAGAGGGGTAGACTCAAGTCACTTTGGCTTTCACTGGAGAGTTGATTGTCTTGTACAACTCGCGTTGTAAACTTGAGCTGAATCTTGAATATGAGACTTGAGATGTTCCTATGACTCATATTTGCAACCCTCAAGACTCGATATGATCTTTGAAACAATTCATATTGTAAAGATCCATTCGGAAGCATATTGATCCTTACTATAGCCTGCGTTGAATTGCTCACATAATGACGCTCCAGCACTGAGCTACTAAGGGGTGGAGTGATGGCATGCTAGACCCTCTTTCTGATTGGATCAGGCCCTTACTGGCCCTGGTGATTGGCTTGAGGCCATTTGCATGTTGTCTGAAATAAAGTGGATTCGGCTTTGGGTGTGTTCCAATACTGTTTCTTGTCTCCTCCTTTCCTCCACTTGTTTCCTCCCCTCCGTTCCTACCCTGGAAATATGCCGAACATATGTGGGGGAAAGGAGGGGAGGAAATGAGTGAAGGAGGTGAGATTTCGTTTCCTGCCCTTTTGGAACAGTGGAGGAGAAGAGGACACATAGATCAGTTTGGGGGCAAAGAGGAAAGGAGGAGACAAATTTGAATATTGGAACGCACCCTTTCAGATGCTTGAAATTCAGACCCTCTATATCTGTCCAACCAGGGTGTGGCTTGATGCAAAGTACACGCCTCCACATTAGTAAATTTGAAGGCTTGAATTTGAAGGATGAATGGAAAAGTAGAAATGGAAACAGGTAACAGGAAATTGAAAAAATTAACATTCTAAATTGAAAATGAAAAGAGAAAGCATAAAATCAAAACTAGTAAAATGAAAATGGTCCATATCTGCAGATAATTTATTTTCTCATTTGTATCCCTAAATAACCCTAAAATGGCTTGTTCATTCCATATTTACAGCTTCCCACCAGTAAATGATCCAGATCATAAACTTTTAACAAGAATTTTTTTATATATGCAGAAAATACAGTACCTGTAGTAGCAGGGGGTATAGCTCTGTGGTAGAGCATTTGACTGTAGCTTAAGAGGTCCCTGGTTCAACTCTGAGTGCCCCCTCGTAGCTTTTAAACATGGAAAACTATATTAATTTCACATTGAAGTGTGTACCAAATGCTTTCAGCATTTATAATGTGATCTCAGCGAAGATATAGTCCACAGGTCGTGTCTTGTCCTGCCTTAAAGAAACTCAATGTACAAATCGAAATCTTTGCAAAATCCTGAAGTTTTTGCCAGAAACAGGGTACAGCTCAGTGGTGGAGCCTTTGACTACAGATCAAGAGGTTCCCCAACTCAACTCCAGGTGCCTCTCTCAATTCTGTTTGTTGAAGATAGAAAACCATGTTCATCTCAGGGTTTATGTCCGAACATTTTAGAATAATTCATGAAATCATTAACACAGTGTCATAGATGTTCCAAGTCATATGAAGCATGTTTGATTGCAGATCCAAAGGTCTGAAGTTCAAAGGTACTCTCTACACCCATTAAAACAGCATTTTATGCTAATTTAAATAAATTGTCTGTCTCGGACATAATTCCCCTTAGTTAGTTAACCCTTTGTCATCTCTGTCCCAATTTATGACTTAGGCTTTTGTTTGTAGGCCTACAGACTGAGGCAGAACTAATTTCTGTGAATAATACATTTACTACATTTTTATTTTACAACATTTTCTAAATGTTTGAAATGTTTAAAAGCTGTAAGAGAAATATTGTGTGATATGAATTTAAGAGATGGGCTACTCCTCATGTGAGCCATGAGACTCCAGAACAGAGCTGGTTTTAGCAGGCCCCAGTGTCCTCCACAAAACACTGTCTCCATTCTCCTTGGCCTCTCAGTCAGGCTTTCTTCATCCTCTCTCCTCAAGAAACCCTGTCTTGACCTCCCGTCATCAAGCAGGGTTGCTTTATTTTCGAGACATTATTAAAAAGACGATTTCTCAAAGTAAATAAAGGCTTTCTTGTTTTGCGGAGATTCGGCTTGAGCGTCCCACTGTGGATGTGCAAAACCGTGTGATAATTACAGTGACCTTCTGTTTTCCTTTGGGTGGAACACCAAGCGTCCCCACTAACAAAATACAAATATACTCTTATTCCAGTTTTCACATATAGTTTTGGCCATACAGTGCATACAATTTTTGTGTGAATGGTCCTGTTGTATTCATCTAGCCTGATCTCTAAGAAAGAATGTGATTATAATGTAGTTTGAATTAATGAATGCAATGCTTCTTCATACTCTCTCATTCTTAAACCGAGGGTCCCTCTCTCAGTATCCATTGAGCACCTTCCCACAATTGAGAAGCATGTCTCCTCCTAACTTATCATTCAGTTTACTACAAATGTTAATTCTATCTAATGGCAATCAAGGGAAATTATCCATTATCCACACCTGTAATGTGCCTTTGTCTACCTGTACATCAAATGATTTGTGTACAGTGTGAATCAGCAAAAACTCATTAGATTGATATATGTGTTTACACACACTCAAATGAAAAGTAATATAAGGCTTAAGAAGTGAAGACATGTAAGCATGACGGTAAAACTAAACAGGTTTAGCTATGGGAAGATTGTCTGGAGACATTTTTGAGACAATTCACAAAGCCTAGTTATTTATGTTATATAATGTCATTGAATTGCAAGACATTTTATGATCAACTAGTTTTTGAGTCATCTATCAGGGTGGCATGTCTGTCCTATTGATATGTGAAAAGTAAGGCCAATGGTTATATATGAATTTTAACAATCAGGCAAACAAAAAGTGGGTTGTACTATATGCTTGTCAATGTGTAATTCCACTAAGTCAGAGCCAGACAGAACCATCACAGCTGAAACAGCAGGAGTAATTATCACTTTAATCAGTTAATGATTTCTGGGATCTCCCCAGCTTTTTACAAAGCACACCATGTCTTCAAAACCCACAGTCAGATTTATTATAAATACTGTACCTGCATTAGTGTGGTCTGTTGCATTGTTGTGGTATGCAATTGGATTAAACAAATCATTCCGCAAGCGCAACTACTTCAAAGATATCACAGTAACATCCAGGCTGTAACCACATCTTTGCTGCATTGTAGGAGTAGCTGTTCCAGTTGTAATGGAGGTCTGTGGTCTTGTGGCTTCAGTCTGAGGATAAAGCTAATTTAGTGTTCCCCCTTTCCTTGGGTCTTCCCCAGAATGTATGAGGAAACAAGCTTTTATTGTGCAGAAGCTTGTAGTTATTTCGCTGATAAAAAAATAAACAGTGAAAATTATGTTAAGAAAAGTAATTTAACAAGATGTATTTCTCCCAAGCCCTTTTAGTAGATGCATGTAAGAAGGAAAGCTCTCTTTTTCCTCCATGGAGTGATGAGGCAACTTCATTCAAAGTTCTTGGAAAACAGCTTTGATGATCCAAGACCATAATTACAGTGATGTGAAACCACAGACATAAACCAATAATGATTTAGTTAAGCCGGTGTACAAAATCGGTTGGCATCTGTGCACGGACTGACAGCATGTGATGAGGAAGTGGCTGGACAGGAGGATATTTTCCCAGCCTCTCTGCCACTAACTTATCCATAATCACTAATTGATCACATAAACACTCATCAATTCATACATTGCTTCCACATTTATCAAAGGAAACCTACCTACTTTAAAATTGCTTGAATGCATGTCACAATGTTGCACCTTAACATTGAGGGGTTATACAACAACATAAGACACATTTAAATTCTTTTTACTCCCTTCCTCTTCATGTGCTGCTTGCCACTTTCTTTTGTTATTTTGGTCTCCACCTTTTTGGTATGCCCTACAAGTAATTTGTGAACCCTGCTGTTTTGTTGATTATATCTATTCACAGAAAAGAATACACACTGAGGCAGTGTTGGTTGTGGTTTAAAACAGGCTTGGAGAGTGCTTTATTGTACTGGTGGGGAACCTCTCCCCTTGCCAAGGTTCCTGGAAAGCAAGCAATACTAGACAGCTGTCTGCTGCATTGTGCCAATACAAATGAATGCCAACAACCTGGCCCTGCCCTGGCCTTTACTGCCAGTTACTGATACACAGAATCCAACATCCACACTTTGGCTTATTTTTGCTTAAATCTGGCAACCATCCAGCTGTCAGCATCAAAAACCAGCCTACTCTAACAACAAATTGGGTAACACTTAATGTAAAACTTATGTAATAACAATCCATTGTAAACCATTAATAGATCATGAACATTGATTTGCAGATGTCTAATAATTCTAAGTAATTGTTAAGTATTTATTTTTTGGTCGTCATAAACAAATGACTTGTAAATCTGTGTTTTCACCAAGGGTTTTGAGAATTTATGTTCATACAAAGAACATTTTTTCCTTAGCTGAAAAAGCACTGTGTTATGTATATTTGACATAACTTGTGTATCTGTATAGTCTTTCCTAGAAAAGAATAATATCACATAAGAATGACTCATCAACTACAATTAAATGCTCTGGACTTATGGGGCAAAAATGGAGAAATTGAACTGTGATGTAGGTAGTGTAAATATAATATAAATATTGGCTATACACTATCAGTAAGTGCAGAAAAATAGGTTGATTAAGTCTTTTAACAAGGACAGGATAAAGTGTTTATGAGAATTCTTTCCACAATAATGTTACTTTTGTCAGATAATCATTTTTCCTCTAGTCTTTTTAAGCAAATTATGCCCAATGCTGGTCTCAGTAAAACTAACTGATGTGTAATTAAGCCATTATGGGTGAGATATGGGACTGACTGTCAAAACAGAAAATATTATAAGTATTAATTCCTTAAGACTCGTCAAGAATTCCTCAGCTAGGAAGAGATGCAAAGTACATGTTAGATACCACAGACTTACACTGGAGTCAGCAATTTAAACTGGGAGGTAAATAAAATGATATACTATTGGACTCCAAAGTACCCCAAATATTTTTTAGGTGGGGGTTATATGGATTGTTGCCATACTGCAGACTTTATTAAATGCTTTCCCGCTTCTGTATTCCAGCAAATGTACTTTCTAGTCTTATTAATATTGGGCTGCAGCTGAGAAGAGGAACAGACCACCTATTCCTAAAGGGCTGGTTCTGCTGTACCTTAAAATGATTGGATCAATTAAGATGATCTCCTACTGAGCTAGACATTGACTGGAAATGTGCTAACAATTTCAGGTGAATTGCAGAATTTAATTTAACTTAGACTGCTTCTCTGGTATTACATTTTGGTATTAGATTTGCATTGGCAATGCATATGGATTTCATAAGGAAACCATGTTGAAAATGCTATGAAAAAATGTCATTTCAACTCATATCAGAAGGACTGTATAGCTTAGTTTTACACTGCTGCGCTTACGTTACTTCAAACTGATTGTATTAAATACTCCTGAACTTCAGTGCAAACTGAACATGTAGTTAGTAGCGTATAAATCATATCTGACAAAGGCATGAGCCAAAATTCTTTAATTCACCTCTGAGCTTTATTTTTCATTCAGAAGTGAATAATTTAACAATTGATCTGGTTATGAGTAACCTGTAAATGATATTCAACTTGGCTCATACATTAGTCAGGTATTAACTCAAAGTCTGGCAATATTTACACTGCAATCCATATAAACTTTTGCACTTGGGCTCCATTTTACTTATCCTTGAAGTAAGGAGAAATATGCAGGTGGAAAACTTGCACATTGGTTGAAGTCTGCATGTGATTGAAGTTGCATTTTTTTTATCCTTAAATTGGGGGAACTTTGGCAAAACAACCTCAGATTAATAATTTGCATTACAGCTGCAAAAGGCCTGTCACACCACATTCCACCGCAAACCAGAAAAATCTATTTTTTCTTTGGCAGCAGTACCTCTATCCATGGGCGTCAGTTTGTTTTGAAAAGTCTTGGGGACAATGACGGGTTCAAGTAACTAAAGCCCCCACTAAAGTGGTGGGCCACGATGAAAAGTGGTGGGAACATGTCCCTAGTGTAAATAACACCTTTTCATGGATCCTTTAGATGATGTATTTGCTTTGTCTATGTTATTAGCTTGCACACAACACTGAAGTCATCTTTCCTTACATGGGACATTCACTCA